AAATAAATGACTAATGACAACAAATACTTTGACAGGTCAGGTGGTTTCCAAGTTTTGCTTTTAGCAAAAGTAAAGGAGCTCCAGTTGAGTTGTCGACTAACAGATCAATTAAAATATTTTTGAAGATAGATGCTTAAGTGATTTGGGACTATAATTCAGAAGGAAATAGAAGTCAAAAAGAGAGACATCGCTACAGTGAAGTATATTTAATTATTACCCACTTATTTAAGTGAAGGTTTTTCTCAGCCCTTGTAAAAATACAAAACAGGAATATAGTTGATTTTAACCCTGACTCAGTATAGCCCTCGGTAATATTCATCTCTTGGATATATGAAGACCAGGGTTGGGGGGTGGGGTGGTGGGAAGGGAAGTTACTTCATTGAGATCCATTTCCTAACACTTCCCTTTTTATGTTTATTAATTATCAAATCTATGATAAGTATTTTGATCAATTTTATAGTAAAAATTTTACTGATAACTGAATCCAGAAGTTACCATTTTAACACTTAGAGATTTAGGCCACAGTGAAAACAGATTTAGTATATATATATGTATATATGTGTGTTGTTTATGGCAGAGAGGTGTGATAGGGTAATAAAAGATTTCAGGCACAAAAATGGATTAAAATAAAGTTATGTTGGGGAAATAGTATGTAAATAGAAAAAGGAACTAAAATTTTCACCTGTTCGAGAAGATTCAGTCCATGAATTTTTAAATGGACAGTGATGGGTTTCATAATCACTCTTGTATTTAGGTTCCACTGGATGCATTTTAAAAAGTGGTATAATTTATATTTGAAAATGTCAATTTTTATAGTATGCTGGAAATTAAGTTCTTAAGTCTATGGTGAAGATTTTGATGTCAGCTTAAAACGTGCCAGAGGGTACATAGTTTTTTTCAAAATGATACCCGTGGAGGTCCGAGCAAACATCTGTAGGTTACTGGTCTTGTGGGTCCAGTTCTCCTGGCTGCTGAGGTACTTGAACTTCTGTCATCGAAGACCAGTAAGTGGAACAGCTTCAGACTCCTCATGAATCTTGAGAGGAGTGCTGGAGTGTGGTCCCTGGTGAGTGTCTTCTTAAGTCCTTTAATGTACACTCCCTGTATTATCTGCTGGGCTACTTGTCTATCCAGTTTGGACTTGAGTAACCATTGGCCTGGGAGGCCCAGGGGCATCATCCTTACCAGTGCACTGGAGTGTGAGTGTGTGTGTCTTTGTGCGCATGTGCTAGGAAGAGGGGAGGTCACTGGTAGTTGGGTGGGGTGAGGGTGGGTATGGTGCTGAGACCCACATTAATATGCTGTTTTGCTTTCTCAGGGGTAGGAAGCACCATCCTGAGCAGTCCCTTCATCAAGTGGTCCCATTGCACGTGCTCCAGGCAGCATGTATCAGGCTATTCCAATTGTTAGGAGCAGTGGGAGGCCAGGGCACTGACGCTAGTCCAAGGTTGGGGTGAAAATTCTGTCTCTCCCTGTGGTATGCTGCTAGTGCTACAGTACAAAGGTCTCACGCTTTGTTAGACTTTAAAGTCAGCCAGATTTTGAATCAGGTACTTCTGCTTAATAGTGATAGAACCTTGGGTGAGTTGTCAGACTTCGGGAAGCTTCAGTTACCTAACTTCTAATATGGGGGTAATAGCTGTCCTTCACGGTAGTGATGGTTAAATAAGCTAAGTATGAAAAATACATATTGTAAACTTATTTTATTCATTTATTTTTTAAAAACATTTTATTTATCTGACAGAGACCACAAGTAGGCAGAGAGGCAGGCAGAGGGAGAGAGGGAGAAGCAGGCTCCCCGCCAAGCAGAGAGCCCGATGTGGGGCTTGATCCCAGGACCCTGGGATCATGACCTGAGCTGAAGGCAGAGGCTTTAACCCACTGAGCCACCCAGGCGGCCCGCATATTGTAAACTTATGATTAGTAATTTTTATTATTAGGGTGAGGTGGGGTGGGTGGATTAAGTTGTAGGTAGAAAGGTTTCCCTGAGGAGATAAAGCCTAAACTGGCCCCTCAGCAGAGAGTAGGGGAGTCAGCCAGGTTTTAGGTGGGCCATTGTAGGTCAGAAGAAAGGTCATTATAGGCAGAGGGAGCAGTTTATCCTGAGACTGGTAAAGGCTAAAGAAAACTTATTCCAGGAAGTGCAAGGACTTCAGTAAGGTTGCGTACCGGTTAGGAGGAGTCAAATTTTTTTAAAGCAAGGTCTTATTTCATCCAGTTGTTAGAGAATGAGAATAATTTCTGAAGATTGCTGACTCACTCTGCCAGAAGTATGTGTATGTATGTGTTGTGTGTGTGTATGTGTGTGTGTGTGTATATATATATATATTTTTTTTTTTTTTAAGATTATTTATTTGAGAGAAAGCAAGGGCAGAGGAAGAGGGAGAGAGAAGCTTTAGCAGTTTCCCACGTGGGGCTCGATCTTAGGACCCTGAGATCATGACCTGAGCTGAAACCAAGAGTCAGATACTTAACTGACTGAGCCACCCAGGGACCCCAATAAGTATATGTTTTTAAATCCAATGAGGCTTTCTCCCCTAGGGTCCTTCAGTGAACTTTATCACATTATACTTGACACATATAATCTGCCACAAGCCACACCAGATTACTTTTTTTTTTTTTTTTTTTTAAAGATTTTATTTATTGGGACACCTGGGTGGCTCCGTTGTTAAGCAGATGCCTTTGGCTCAGGTCATGAACCCAGGGTCATGGGATCAAGCCCCACATCCAGCTCCCTGCGTGGCAGGAAGCCTGCTTCTCCCTCTCCCATTCCCCCTGCTTGTGCTCCCTCTCTCGCTGTGTCTCTCTCTGTCAAATAAACAAATAAAATCTTAAAAAAAAAAAAAAAAGATTTTATTTATTTATTTGACACAGAGAGAGAGAGACAGCAAGAAAGGGAACACAAGCAGGGGGAGGGGGAAAGGGAGAAACAGGCTTCCTGCCAAGTAGGGAGCTCAATGCGGGGCTCAATTCCAGGACCTGGGATCATAATCTGAGTGGAGGGCAGATGCTTAACCGACTAAGCCACCCAGGTGCCCCAGATTACTTTTAATTACCCAAACGTACTGTCCTCCTTCATACGTCTGCCTGTGCTATTATTGCCTTTGTCCTTCAACTTCCCTTCTCATTTTGTCCTATGGTATTCCTCCTTATCATTCAAGATTTAACATTGTATAATACACAAAAATAGTGTTCCTAAACTAACAATCCTTTTATATACAATAAGGTTAAAAGGAGATAGGCAAGAATAATAACCTGTACTGAGGGATCAGAAAGAAAATGTGACTAATTGGAGAAACATTGTAGTCAGGGTTGGAAAGACTAAATACAAGAAGGATGCTAATTCTCCCCAATTTTACTGCATTTAATATAATCCTAGCCAAGATGTCTATCTATCTATCTACACAAATATTTTATAAATTATTTTAACTGACCCAACTGATTCTAAAGTTCATCTGAAAGAATAAGCTTTCTAAAATAGCTTTGGAAATTCTGAAGAAAAAAAAAAACCAGATTTGCTCTGTCAGATATTAACCAATTGAAAATACCCTACCATTGTTAGCTAATGGGACAAGCCACTCCAATCGTATGAATTAAATTATGTTTCTTACTATTACTTCTCTGTTACACGAGTCAGAACCCTGGGTAAATTTTCATCCTGTTTCGAGGGTAAGATTAGGATGGGCTGAAATAAAAGTTACAACCATGACATTTGCGAATCTTCCCTTTGGGTCCATTTTAATGCTGTGGTTCCCAAAGTGTGGTTCTGAGGATTAACAGAACCATTATCACTGGAGAACTTGCTAGAAGTGCTAATTCTCAGTTCCTGCTTCCAGTCTACTATATCAGAAAATCCTGGAGTAGAGCTTAGCAGTCTCTTATAGACACTTGATGCATGCTAAAGTTTGCAAAGTACATTCTTAAAAAAAAAAGGTTGTCCTCTTCCAGAATTCCTGAAACAGACAAACTGGGCTCCCATGATGGTGGACCATCATAGTAAGAAGCAGTAAAGGAGAAAGCAGTTTAACGTATTGGCCCCCAGTTGAAATTCACCTGGCACAGTTCCAGTCGCAGGTGTTATATTTCAATCCAGCCATTTCTCACATAGTCAACTCGGGGGTGAGTAGCAGCTGGAATTTATTTAATTGACCATGGTTAATGAGGCTACCAAATAACTCAGCTAGAAAGGTCAGCTTGTAAATAAATTAAATATTTCCTGCTGTATCATATGTCAGTTGATGTGAGCTTGTGACTGTTAAGAGCTCTGTTGGACTAAATAAAAAATTAGGAAAGAGAATCTTCTGGTGAAGGCGGGAGGGTGGTGGATGGGTGGTACTGTCAATCCATAAATGATTTTTAAACCATCCTTGGTTTTGTATCATCTGAACCACTGATTGCCTCACTAACTCTCTTACTGTAGAGTTCACTATAGTTAGTTTTCCATGCTTTTATTTCCTGAGAGGAAGACTTTAACACTCACTCCTCCAAATGCCCTTTAATGATAGTACTTTTCCCTCCACTAGTGACAGTCTCAGGTTTTAAATTTTTTCTTTATGAAAAACATTTGTGCAAAAAATGATTGACAGTCTATTCTGATGTATTCAGAGGTATGAAAAGACAGGCCGTGTGTTTTTGGCAAGATGTTCTGCAGGAAGGTACTAGGCTGAGGCAGGTGAGGCATTCCTCTCTGGTGCAGAATTTAAGGGACCCCTAAAACTCAATAACCAATAATACTTTAATGGGTACAGTTGATACAAAAGAAAGAAAACCCATGATGAATAAAATACCAAAGTTTTAAATAAAGTCAGGATCATGACTGTGGTAGGTTGACCCATATTGGAACCTATGGCAAAAGGGCAAAGTCAGTGATACTTACCTTGACTCTGAAAAAAATCACAGGTAAATGTGAAACTAGGACCCCGTTCACTTGATTAGTAATATAAAATTGTGTTTGTATATATAATATTAATACAATTTTGTTTTTCATCTTCTGTTTCTAGGGATATACTAATATCACCATCATGCTGGCAGTATGCTATCCTTCTTAACCGGTTCAATTATTCCTTTGAACTGGAAAAAGATTTACATTTAAAGGGCTATCACACACTCTTTCAAGGATCTTTACCCTACTATCCTAAATCAATGAGGTGTTACCTTAGCAGAGCTCCAGACAGAATGCCTTCAGAAAGACACCAAATTGGAAATCTAAAAAAATATTATCTCCTGAATGCTGCCTCTCTTCTCCCAGTATTGGCTCTGGAATTAAGGGATGGCGAGAAGGTTCTGGATCTCTGTGCTGCTCCTGGAGGCAAATCGATAGCTCTGCTGCAGTGTGCTTATCCAGGTAGTGTGCTTTTCTTTCAGTAATTGACAACTTTTAAATATCCATGTATTTCAAAATACTTTCAGAATATATGGGAAGAAGTAGAAGATTGAGTTTGCAGACTTTGAAAATCTGAAAACCAGGACAGTATGTAGAATGGAAGTTTTAGCTGAGGAATTAGTGTAATTTTTTTCTTATTTTCAGCTATGTACTTGCAGGTAATTTTGAACAAAACAATCACATTTTGTAAACAAATCTGTTAGGTAAGATGAATCCTGATAAGCCAATAACAAAGATTTTTTATTTTATTGACTTTTATACTTGAGAGTCTTGTATGATATCATACTTCTAGGCAACAAAATATACACATTTAAAGTCGTTTTTTGTATCATTAGACCGTAAGGTTATAAGGCAGTTTTGTCTAATAGAAATATAATGTGAAGTGCATGTAAAATTTAAAATTTTTAAGTACTCGTTAAAAAAAGTAGAAACGGTTGAATTTAATTTTAGTAGTAACATTGTGACCCAGTACCTCCAAAATATTTCAACATGTAATCAAAATAAAAGTTATTAAAGAGATATTTTGCGTTCTTATTGTCTTAAAAAGTCTTCAAAATGGGTATGTATTGTACAGCACGTTTCAGTTTGGACTAGCTGTCTTTTAAGTGCTCATAGCCACATGTAGCAAATGGGTATGATGTTAGACAATGCAATTCCTTTTTTTTTTTTTTTTTAAGATTTTATATATTTATTTGACAGAGAGAGAAAGAGCATAAGGAGGGGGAGCTGCAGGCAAAGGGAGAAACAGGCTCCCTGCTGAGGAGGGAGCCCAGGGTGGGGCTTGACCCCAGGACCCTGGAGCTGAAGGCAGGCACTTAACTGACTAAGCCACTCAGGATTCCCTGCACAATGCAATTCTAAGACTTTGAAAAGTTTTTTGGAAGTAACTTATCTTTACCATTATTAGTGTAAAAATGGTGAAATGTACGTAAATGTACATTTTTCTATTTGTTAAAAGTAATGAGTCAAGCAATAGCATAAATTATTTTCCTAATTAGATAATAGGACTTTTTAAAAAATTACTTTAGATTTCCCTGGATAAATACTATTTATCGCTTGGTAGGATAGGGTTCAGCATTAGTTATGTCTGAATTTTGTCTGATGGTTTTTATAAATGCAGATGCTGTTTTTTATTATAGATGGTGATGGAAATGGTGGGAATTATGTTACAGTAGTTTCACCAAGCTCTTCAAATCTTGAGTTATGACCCCAAAGTCCATAAATATTTTTCTTTAAGCATTATTTTAATGATCTGCTAAGTAAGCACCAGCTTTTGATTTTGTTGAAGGGAAAGAGTTACAAACCATCTCAGTTACTAAAGGCTACTTTGCCTAGTTGTTTAATTCATTCACTTTCTTAGCCAAGGTACCCATGTGTTTAATTGCCTTTGTTTGGTCCTTTGTAAATTTCTGTACCCTGCCACAGTTTGCTGTAATAAGATTCTGGATGAGTGGGAAGCATGCTTCTCAGTTATAAGGTTGGTGAAGTGTCATTGTGGAAGGAGATGCCCTGACGGGAGGTGTGCTTTAGGAAGTTGATCTGAACATTGATTCTTTTAAAACTATCTAACTTTGCTTATTATCCCTTAGAAAGTTGTTAGTATCTCTAGTTTGAAGACTGCTAATTTATATCTTCCTTTGAGAGCACTCCCTGTTGAAATAGATTTCATACTTTTATGACAACTGTGAATCCAGTAGTATTAGGCGTTGGTACAAATATATCAGTTAACTATGTATTTAGGAGGAAACATACTGTGTGTTTTAGAGTTGTTATTAAAACTCTGTTATTGAAGCTTGCTGTATTTTTTAATGTAAGAAATCAGAACAAAAGAGGTAATTTTGTAACATTATTTCTATTATTTTTATAATTTGAGCTGAAGATTTATGGAATCATGTGATAAGGAGTATTTTTACTTTCATTCTTGTGTTCTTTGGCAGTATTCTTGTTTTGTCTTATCAATTTTGAATCGAGAGTTTTTAGTATTGTAAAAAAAATGGACGAGAAATATCAAATTTGGGTGCCATGTTAAAGAGAGCATTTTAATCCTAAATTATCCTTATTAGTAGGCTGTATTTCACATGCTTATGATAGGGAAGCTGATTTGATTAGGAATACAAATGCAAACTGATATATCCTAGGAGTTTGAATTGGAGAAGAATCTTACTGTTCTTACCTCAAGGGCAATGAACTATAGGCACTGTTCCAAGTAAAGAAGCTTTTCATCTAAGTAGGACTAATGATAATGGTTTGGTAAGAAGTACAGATGTCTTCATGCTGATGCTCAAAGCCCAGATTAGGTTAGCTACACTGCTTGAATTTGGAATGCGGAAGCAATACTAAAATAAGCTTTTTAAAAACAAAACCTAACATGATGGCTGCAACTAAATGTTCATTTATACAACAAATTTCTTTAGATCACTACTGGCCTTTATTCTGGGCCAAGAGGCTCACAGCTTTGAATGATTAAGAAGTTCATATTTTAGGATGATTAAATTAGTTTATTTCTCTTTTGGTCCAGCTGCTCCCACCTGTTGACACGGTGACAGATTATCCATTTTTTTGTTTTGTTTTTATTTTTGTTTTTGTCAATACAGGCTTTGTTATGTCCTTGTCTTGACAGAAGAAGAGAAAACAATTCTGATTCTAAATAGGAAGGCATTAACAAAGCAAGAGTGACCCAGCTTGGTGGAGTGGTTTGTTCACCTTCCTTGCTGAGGGCTCTATTCATGAAATTTTCTTTGCTGTCCCTGATAATTCTCGACATCTAGTTAGCCTTTGGTGGTAGAAAGGATTAGAAAGACTCCTTGTTTTACTGAATTGCTTTTATCCTGCTTTCTGCTCCCTTAGGCCTCCAGACCTTCTGCATACCCTATGGGTAGCACTTTCCTCCCCCTCTCCTCCCCTGCTGACTCCTCCCCCGCCCCCCCATTCTTAAAGTTTTCACTCAGGAATCAACTTTCCTAGAAAGCCTTCCAGAACTCCCTGTATTAGAGGTACTTTTTATTTTGGTAGTAATAAAAACATTTCAGAATAACCTAATATGTGCCAGGGACTGTAGTAATCACATTGCGTAAATCTGTGTTTTCAAACATTTTTTAGTAGTCTTTGCTTCCAGCATCTTACGCTGTATTTCTGTATATACATGTTTCTGAAGCCCTAGGGCTCTGAGGAACACATTGTGAGTATCATGGTGTATAGATCTTCTTTAACCCTGCAGCACCATTAGTTGGGCATTATTATGCCCACTTTAAAGATGAAATCAAAACAAAGAGAAATTAATCTAAATTGCCTTAGGTAAGTAGCAGAGGTGGGATCTCAACTCAGGTTTTCAGGAATGTGCACTTGACTCTGTTTTGAGGTCTCCTGATGTTACTCAACTGCTGACTTTTCCAGCAACCTTCGTTAGACAGCTTCTTGAGAATAGGGGAGGTTCTCACTTACCTTTGTGTCTGCAGCTACTAGCACCATACCCAGTCTATAACAGGTACTTAGTAAACCAGAATCTTGAAGTGGCTGTATTCTCAAGTGTATTTTAGTCTGTTGTCAAACATGTTCTAACAAATTTGTTGTTAAATTTGTGAAGTTGTAACATTGCTTCCAGATATCCCAAAGAATCTTACCATTAGCTTTCATATCACTTCTAATATATGGACAATACCATTATTCCAGTTTTTACATTGAGAGCAACATATAATTCCTCAGATAATCATGATTATGGCTTATGGCTCCAAGGAATAATTAACAGAACTGAAAATAGGCATAATTGTTTTTTTTCCAAGTTTGTTGCATCAGAGTAAATTAATGAATGAAACTACCAGCCCAGTTTCTTTCCATGGACCAAAGGCTGCCCTAAACAGATGTAAAGCCTCAATGACTTACTCAAATATTTTTTTTAAATTCACCCCCTTTCCTGCTTAGATGAGTAAAATACCAAGATTTGGCTTATTTTTGGCAATTTAAACATGAAGTTAATTCTGTTTCAATATAGTAAGTTATAGTATATATATGAAACTTGAGTTGTGATGTCTTATATTACATATTTTAAAAAGTTTAACCACTCTAAGACAATTTCAAATAAAATCTACATCTAGGACAAACAATATAACATAAAGCTATATTTTAAGTAAGAGACTTCTTTTAAAATGCTGAATTAAGAATCTTGACTAAAGTTGTAATTTAATGAAAAGCTAACTTGATTTTCACTTTTAATAGTTTAAATATTCTTATGATGCCATGTTTCAGATCAGCTCAGCCACATTAGTGAGCACATACTATGTGTGCAAGGCTTTGGATAGTAGGTATGGAGCTGTGAAAGATGCAGAAGTAACTAAGACTTTGGATTCTTATAGAATGACAGACTAGGTCTTCTAACCAATTCCTGGTGAAAACAACTCCTGCTGAAAACAACAAATGTAGCATATGATATTAAAAACAGAATCTTTTTAAATGCATTGGTGATCTCCAAATATTCAGTGACCAAAATCTAAGAGATAATGGGAACCCAGAAGATGAATTGAGCATCAAAGCTAGCTTTTCAATTATGAGCATTTGCTTAACCTGAAAAACTTGAATGTTGATATTCATTGCTTCATGAAAATATGGGAAAAAAAGACAAAGCCAGAGCTTGCCCAAGAGAGCATCTGCTAGGAGGTTAACTTACAGAAAGCTGAGATTCCAAAATGGTATACCCTCCATGTAAGGTAAACTAAGAAGAAATTGTCCTATCCCAAGGGACTGAAAAAGGAAACTGTCTGTTTTCAACTTTGATAATGGAGGAGGAATGGAAATAACCTCTGAAATTGTGTAAGCACAGCTAAGCCAGTGAGGACCATTATAGTGAAGTTGCAGAACATTGAAAAAGAGATCTTAATAGCAGCCAGAGAGGACAGATAGTTTACCTTCAAAAGACAACAGACTGAGGATTGACCTTTGAGAGTAACAATGGAAACTAGCATTCAGAGGAACGATGTTTTCAATGTCCTGAGAAAAGATGACTATAAATCCAGAAATATATTCACCAAAATATCCCTGAAGAACAAAAGTGAAATGACATTTTTTTAGACAGAGAGATAGAGTATAAGCTTGTCACCAGTGATTCTGAAAGATGTGCTTCAGGAAAAAGGAAAGCCATTGTAGATGGATGATAAGATATTAAGAAGAAATGAAGAATAAAAAAGATGGGCAATATATAGGTAAAATCTAAAAGTCATTGATAAGAGAAGACAATGATGATAATATGTTGTGTAGTTACAGAATGTAAGCCCAAATAAAACCCAAATATATAGTAACGGCATCTAGTTTGGGAGGGAGAATTAAAAGATTATTATATCTTTTAGGAAAAACAGGTTGACTATATTTTTTTTACATAAGCATGCATGTTAAAATTTGTATGTTTACCAGTAAAATAATAGAAATGGAATATAATATTTAAACCAGAAAAAGGGAGAAGTAGAGTGAAAAATAATTAAGACATGGGTCTTTCCTAGTATCTGATGGGGACAAGGTGTGACTTTGGGGAGGTCTCTTGGCCCCAGTTTATGCTCCACCATAGATGTCTTTACTCCCATCTTTACTCCCATTCCTTAATTAAAGGCTTGAGACCCTTGAATTGTTTCCAGACTGCAGAAACCCTAGAAAGGGATCCATGCTGTTCCTGCAGTTTTATGCTGATAGTGTTAACTGCTGTCACAAATTGAGCAGCCTCCAGATGGCTGCCAGCTGACAAGCAAGAATCACCACACCTGAGTGGTTGCTGTAACTGGCCTTGGGACTCTCTGGCTTGTCTGTAGGGGCCAGATAGCACAAACCTGAAGTGTGTGGGAGTTACCAACTCTTGGAATGGACTTTAACCAACGAGAGGCAGAAGACCGGAAGATGACAGCAGATTAATTGTTCTCCCTCCTTATTTCACTAAACTTCATAGTTTCTTCTAAGGCTCATCAATTTCAGATGAGAGATGGACCAGTGCTGTAGCCCACTTGATTACAAACCCTTTTATATTTATGCTCTGTCTTTGTATGATTTACTTCTTTTTTCTTTCACTCTAGTTTCCCTGTGGTTATAGCCCCTCCATAACATTAACTTTTGCCTTCAGTCATTTTCTAGTGATTTCAGGCTTTTAGACAACTGTCCATAATCTACATTAGCAAATCCTCCAGAAGCCCCTGAAATAAACATGTAAACTAAATTTAAAAAGAGTATACTACCTGTATAAATGCAACTTTAAGGTGATTTCTTACTCCTTTCTTCCCACTAACAAAATTGATGCCATCTCCTGAGTGCTTTCCATATAGAAATTGCGGTGTGGTGGTAGTAGAAAGGGTAAGCAGTGCAAGCAAACACCACTCATGAGGCAAAATATGGTTAAGTACAATGGAAGAGGTTCGAAGTATGTATGAGAAGTGGACAAGTCAGTCAAATTTGGTGGAGCACAGAGTATGTTGGTAAAACAGTGGCAGGTTAAAATTAAAAGGTTGTCTTAAGGTCTCATTATCACAGACCTTGAAATAAATCAGTAGTTTGAACTTTAATGGATGATGGGAAATCATTAAATGTTTTTAATCATGGTATGACAATCAGAGAGAACAACCTATGTTGTATCTATACAACCTATGCATAGATACACATATTTATACATGTATATATTTGAGCAAAGGGTTTACAAAAATATTTCCCTCTCTACATTAGAATTTCACCTTCATGTAGTTTTCTAGCTTTGTTTCCCTGGTAACCTAACAGATTGTCACTACGTTTCCAGGTAGTATTACTCATGATAAAAAAAGATGCTGATGGGTAAAATGCATGTGCCCTGGAAGAAAGAATAAATAAGTCCCAGAGACCTGATAAGGATTCCCTGATTGGGTCTCTCTGAGTGCCTTGATGCTTGTTACTGGGCAGTCCTCTTGTAACTGGGCATCCCTCATGGGGATCCTGGAAGCTGTGCCTCTGGAGTTTTTAGAAGAGATGTTGTCTCCTGTGGCACATGAAGCTTTTAAGCCAGGACAGCTCTGACACCAATGTGAATCTTATCTTCTTGCACCTAAATTACCAGCTTACCAAAGTACAGGTTGTCATGAAAGAGGAATGTCTCACCCTGCCCTCTTGGCAAGCTGTGGTTTCTGTCCTTTGTAGGATGATTCTGAACATGGCCTGCATAAATGTTGAGCTGAATCAGACTTGAAAATCGAATGGTTGAAGGACTACCTTAAAAAGGACCGGAAAAACCTAGAAATTATAAAAGTGATATGATTGACTATTGAAAGATTATGAAACTTAAGAATTAAAAAAGATAAATTCAGAGGACAATGTAAGAAACATTTGCAGATCAGATGGCAGTTAAAGGGATAATATCTGTATAAAGAAAATATGTCTTACCTGTTAGTAAGAAAAATATAAATAGTGGAACAGAAAAAAAAAAGGATAAGAATAGGCATTTACAGGGCGCCTGGGTTGCTCAGTGGATTAAGCCTCTAAAAATAGAAATTCCCCTACCCTAACCTATCCATACCTCTGGAACTGTCTCATAAAAATTTTGAAAGGACAACTGTAGAAGGATGTTTATTGAATTTTATTTTTAATTTTTTTGTTTATTGAATTTTACTAGTGACAACAATGTGAATGCCCAATGATTGGTAATGGATAAATAAAGGATGATATATCTATTTCATATACTATTTAGCAGCCTTTAAAATTATTTATATTTCTACCAGTTGACTTGGTAGTGTTTTTTTAAAAGTATTGGCATATGTGGAGAAGAAGTCATATATAAATGTGTGGGTTGATAATATAAGTCCCTTTTGATGGGGTAGTTGGGCAGTTGGTAGAGAGGGTAGATGAAGAATGAGATGAAAAAAATGACAATATGAAAATATTATATAATTCCACTTTTATCAGTTTTATATGGGTATACACAAAGAGATGTGACGTGATGGTATGATTATTAAATGGCTATCTGAATGCTGGGTTTGAGGCAATTTTTGACGTCCTTTATACTTCTGTGCATTCACAAATGTGCTTGTATTTATTTATTAAAGATTTTATTTATTTGTCAGAGAGAACACAAGCAGGCAGAATGGCAGGCAGAGGCAGAGAGAGAAGCAGGCTCCCCGCTGAACAAGGAGCCCAATGTGGGACTCTATCCCAGGACCCTGGGATCATGACCTGAGCCGAAGGCAGCAGCTTAATGAACTGAGCCACACAGGTGTCCCAAATAAATGTGCTTGTATTTATATATTATATAATTTATATTATATAATAAATACACATAAAAATATATACATATATTTAAATAAAGGAAAGACAAAATAACTTTGATTAGGGAATGAACCATTTTGCTAGGTGTCTTTGTACTGAGAAGCAGTATAGCATTAAAATATTTAAACTTAACAACCACTTTTTTTTTTTTTAAGATTTTATTTATTTATTTGACAGACAGAGATCACAAGTAGGCAGAGAAGCAGGCAGAGAGAGGAGGAAGCAGGCTCCCCGATGAGCAGAGAGCCCGATGCGGGGCTCGATCCCAGGACCCTGGAATCATGACCTGAGCTGAAGGCAGAGGCTTTAACCCACTGAGCCACCCAGGCACCCCTTAACAACCACTTTTTAAGGTAGCCAGTGTAGGGGAGATAAAGTTTCTCCTACATCCTCTAGGGGTTTTCATTGGGACTGACAAAAAAGGTTAGTAGAAGTAAGGCATACAAATTGTATTTAATAAAATTTTACATGTACGTGGGTGTTGCCATAGGAAAATGGAAGATCCACAGAAGTGGCTAATCGTAAGTGTTTATGTAGTAGGTTGAACACAGAGTGCCAGTTTTGGAAAACGTTGCGGGGAGAAGACAGGAAGGATTTTTAGGAAGATCTGTACAGATTTCTCTTGGCCCAGATGCCCCAACTCTGGTGATAAGACTATTTCTTCCCTTCTGGTATAGAGAGAGTATTTTTCATATGGGATTTCATCTCCTTTTAGGAAGAAAAAGGGAGGTAAAAATGCCCTTCCTGCTATGCTGTTATTTAAGTGCCTTTAACTCAAAATAATTAACATGCCAAAATGGCATATTTTGGAGAGGCATGTTCTGAATCCTTTCACTAGTACAGTCCCCATTTTACATATAAGGAAACTGAGACTTTTTTAAATGAGGTCATGAACATTTTTTTAATTTAAATTCAGTTAACATATAGTGTGTTATTAGTTACAGAGGTGGAGTTCAGTGACTCATTATATCATGTACCCTCTTTAATGCCCACCACCTTTTTACTCCATCCCCCACCTCTGTCCCCTTCAGCAACCCTCAGTTTGGGAAACTGAGACTCTCAAGGAGAGCTGAGTAACTTCTCCAGAATCTGATACTTCATAATTTGAGCCCATGTCTTACCATAGAGCTAGTAGCTCTTTATGTGCTTTCTTCCATATATTGCATAACTTCTACTTAAAATGAAAGTTTTCTGTCCTGGAAAGACATATATTTGGATATATATATATATATATATATATGGATGTATAATAGAATATATCATTTACTCTTAAGAGCTTTAGGGAGAACTGTATTGAGGTATCATATCTTTAGGAATCCATAATTAAATTTGAATGAGTGAATGGTCAGAGCTCCTAACAGGCTGTGTAGACAAGACTATTGTGAAGGTTCTGCATGTGTGTATATTGCTGTTTTTAAAACCTTAGACGATCATAGTATTTACTTCTGTGCCCTATATCTGCATAGTTATGATGAATTGATATCTTTCTGAAATTTATTTGATCAAAAGTAAACATTTAACAAATCCATTGCATTCATTTTAAAATGTTTTAATCCTTTGCATTTAGGTTATCTTCACTGTAATGAACATGATAGTCTGAGATTGAGGTGGCTGAGGCAGACATTAGAATCTTTCATCCCGCAGCCTTTGATAAATGTAATTAAAGTGTCTCAGTTGGATGGCAGAGAAATGGGAGATGCCCAGCCTGAAATGTTTGACAAGGTACAGTTATTACATTGTGACAAACTGATGTGCTCCCAGTGATACCACTGTTGTTTTGCTTTGTTGTTGTTTTCCATCTGCTTCCAGACATAGCCTGATACAATTTCTCAGTGCTCTGGGAAATTTTGATAAAGTGAACAAGGAAACAGTTTTCATTTGATGGTCAGCATGGTTCAAAGGAAGTGGTAACATTGGAATTGGGGATTATTGAATGTTTTTATTTCCAGGTGCCTCAGAGATACTCAGGAAAAGATTAGATGCTATTTGGGTCAGTGCACAAACATGTACGCTATATTGCTTTAATTTGGTAACAATTCATATCAGAGTATGACAGTTGAAGAAAAACATTTCAGCAAACCGAAATTGAAATATCATTTCTCAAAAATAAATGCTGAGAATTCAGAAATACAGTAATGTCTGTTTAAAACAAGTAACTTGTAAAAGTTTTTGCTATAGCCATCAAGAATATGAAATATGAGTAGATATTAGTAGACTTTAAGTCCTCCTAGTCTCCCTCCCCACCAAAAAAAAAAAAAAAAAAACCAAAATAAAACACTGAAAGGACATGAGAAATTTTCCTGTCAAGTATTAGTGAGGAAATGTCATGAAGAATTTACCATACTATATTTTTGGTTTTAAAAGAAATGTCTTTATTAGCTGTTTTTTGTCATATTTTACATAGCTTCTCCATGTATTTTGACTATATTCTCAATGCACGTGTGCGTTATATGTCCTTTTTTTCTCTAGGTGTTAGTTGATGCTCCCTGTTCAAATGATCGAAGTTGGTTGTTCTCTTCTGATTCTCAGAAGGCAACCTGGAGGATAAGCCAACGGAGGAATTTGCCCATTCTGCAGCTAGAACTCTTAAGGTGAGGGCTATTAATACAAAAGTTATTCTGGTTTCTAATGTAATTTAAGTTGGCATGAGAAATCATGACAGAGGATTCCCCAAATGGAGCGTTTCCTGTATAGGTATTGGTAATTATTCCTCCAAAGGCTGTATTCAGAAAATTCTTAACCTTTTTCCTTCCAGCTCTCATGCTGTAAGATGCCACTGCTCCTTCCCCCACCCCCTGAATGAAATGTAGTATTGCTATGCATTGTTTTTAAAAGGCCACATATGATTTTATTGTGTTTTAAAGTTGTTTGCGTATCAGGACCATCTCAAACCTAGGGGTCAGCACACTATTCTTTCACCAGAACCTGAACAGTGCCCCCGTAATAGTAGCTTTGGACCAGGATGTATTTTTTTGGTAATGGATACATTGTTCCGGATGAGTCAGCCTCCTACGAAGTTGCAGTTTATTGTTGACACTTATCTTCCCTTGAAGAATTTTCTAGAAGCATGTGACCACCAAGAGATACTTGGTTTTCTTCCAAATAGAGGCTTTTGGGGACATTCTATACTGGTTTCAAAAGAGATTTCTAGTTTTACCCTACTTGCAAGTAATTCCTATTCAATGCAGAACAAAATTCTCTGGAATATTTAAAATATAATTTAATGATGTAATACCACTTGTTACCTCTTACACGTGGAATGAGAATGATTAACATTTTTTTATGCACTTCTGACAATGTGGTTTACTTCCAACTTCTGATTGATACACAACAATGAATACATGCCATTACCTAAGTATTACAGCTGACTAATAGGTCTTGTTCTTGCACCAGATTATGAAATCAGCTCATATGGCTGTTCTAAATAGTACCTACCAGAGAGTTCTTCTAAACACTACTTATCTGGCAGTTAAACTCTCTATATGCTTCCAGTGTCACCTTTCATCTAGGAAACCCAAAAATATTTTGAGAATTTTATACTACTTTTCCCCTTCTACCTCTTGGATTATTAACTTTTGCATGTTGCATAGATCCTGCTATGACTTCTTTCTCACCTGAACTTTCTTGATTTGGCTTCTTAATTATTCCATCAACTCTGGGCCTTGCCATTGTTATACCTTATACCCTATAACAGACAGTAAGTTTTATGACTGCTTGTTAGCGTTGTGACTTTTGATTTATTTTTTAAACTGTGATTAAGCAACCAGGCTTTCTGAAAATATCATTTTTCTTTCTCTCTCATGAAGAATCATCTCTTCACTTCTTTTTCTTCCTGTTCATTACCAAGCTTTTTGTGTTTTATATTCTATTGCTTCTCCTCCCATCTAGGCTCAGTTCATTGTAATCTGTTTTCTGTTCCCCTTGTTCTTCCAAATTTATGCTTGTTAAGGCTACTAAAGATACATTAAATTGACAAATATTTTTCAGTTTTAATTTTACTTGATCTCTTAATAGCATTTTAAAAATGTATCTTATTATATAGCTATTACATGGAAACATTTTCATTGTAAAGAACTAAAATTAAAAAAATGAAGCAAAAGGCCCCTTGGCCATAGACCCAACCAAATACCAGCTTCCTTTACTGAGCTAACTGTTAAACACTTGTTTGGTGTGCACTCTTCCAGATTTTTCCTGTAGCTGTTTTTACAGTTATGTGTGCATGGAGATATATGTTTTAAAAATAACTGCTGTCATTGTGTATATATTGTTCTGAAACTTATACTTGATTTTTCTTAGTTTTTTCCTTATAGATCTGCTTTGTTCTCTTCAACTTTTGTGAAATGTTAAATAGGATCAGTCTATTATATTCTATTTAATCCTCTATTTTTTTGATACATTTATTCCTCCCCCCCCCCTTTTTTTTTACTTAAACAAACCATCCTTTAATTTGTCTCATTGGACATGATACTAACATTTTTCTTGATTAAATATCAAAAAGTAGAAACGAGGATCAAACCTTTTAGATGTATTAAATTGCTCTCTAAAATAGCTATACCAGGGACTCCTGAGTGGCTGTCGGGGACATGTCTGCCTTTGGCTCAGGTCATGATCCCAGGGTTCTGGGATCAAGTACCGCATGGGGCTCCTTGCTCAGTGGGGACCCTGCTTCTCCTCCTGCCTGCTGCTCTCCCTGCTTGTGCTCTCCCTCTCTGACAAATAAATAAAATCTTTAAAAATAAATAAAATAGCTATACCAGTTTATACTTTCTATTTCATTTCTATTTCTATTGCATTTGACTTTATTGACTGCATGTTCCTTCTTCTTCTTCTTCTTCTTTTTTTTTTTAAGATTTATTTATTTTGGGCAGGGTCAGAGGGAGAGCAAGAAAGAGGGTCTTAAAGCAGACTCTGCGCTAAGCTTGGAGCCCTGCGCAGCTTGATCTCACGACCTTGAGATCATAACCTGAGCTGAAATCAAGAATCGGAGACTTAACCAACTGTGTCACTCAGGCACCTCTGTTTGTTCCCTCTTATAGTATTCTCTTCCCTTGATTTTTGTGATGATACGCTTTCCTGATTTTCTTCCTACTAATTTTTTTTAACCTACCCTTAACCATCGCATTTATTACTCATTGCATAGTTACTCGGTTTCCTTAGGCTGCTAAGGTTGGCTCTCTATTTATCTGGTGGCTTCAACTGATATCAGATGCTATCTCTCAAGTGTGGGTGTCAGCTTATCTCCCTAGCCTGAGACCTATGTATTCAGTTATCTATGACATAATCTCCATTTGGAAGCCCCTTGGAAACATAAAACTGAATTTGTCAAGAGGGGAACTCATAATTTCTAATGCTTTTCTGCCCCCCCATCAACAAAATAAAAAATCAAATAAAAACACCACTAATCTACCTCTTTTTTTCTCTCTTCTGTATCTCAGTAATTTCTACACCATCATAGATTTGCCTAAGTCAGAAATCCATCTCCAACCCCCTTTCTGTTGTACTCAAATCAATCGCTAAGATGTTTCGGTTGTACCTGTTACATATTTTTCAAGTCCATCCAATTCTATCCATCCTGAATAGCCTAACCTGAGCCACCAGCATCTGTCATCTGAATCACTGCAGCTGGCTCCTAAGTGCCCTGCAGGTCTCCAGGTGTGAGCTTCACTCCACTCTTCAGTAAAGCAAATCCGATCCGAAATGTGAATCTGTTTGTGTCATTCTCCTTTTTAAAATCCTTCAGTGGTTCCCATTACCATTAAGATATCAAGTTCTGAAAAAAAAAAAAAAAACAACAAACCAAAAAGAATTCAAATTCCTTAGTATAATATTCAAACTGTCTTTGGATATGTCTTCTTCATGTGCCTCATTGTCTCAGGACTTCTCTTACTTTGTATTCCACCAGAGCAGTTCTTCTAACTCACCTTACAGTTTTCTTTCTGAGGCCAGGGCATTTCCTTTTCCTTTTGGTTGAGAGTTCTTACTCATCCTCCCCTTTCTCTTGGCTAACTCTGGATTCTTTAGAAATTAGCTCTGACCTCTTCTTATTGAAGCCTTATCTGACTATCTAGGACTAGGATTGATATTCCCTTCTTGTCCTTACTTTAATTTAAAAATATATTGTCAGTTCCTTTGCTTAACATTTGCCTAGTACTTACCTCTTTCTTCAACAAGACTGTTACAAGCCCCATGGGAACAGGGATAGTCTTACTGTTTTTACTGTTAATACATAATTTGGTGTCTGCTATGTAGGAGGTCAGCAAATAATTATTTAAAAATACTAAATTACAAGGGCTGAGTATTTAGAATTTAAATGTGTAATTAAATTTATAGCAAAGTTAATCTGCCAAAAATGATATAATCACTATTGTGGGGCATAGTAATTAAGCATAAATATAAAACATTTCTGTAATTTATTTTGATTAGTATTGCTTTTATGTAACCAAAGCATGGTTTTAGTGTCAGTTTAGTTTTTTTCCTTCCAATTGGATACATTTCTCTTAACTTCATTTAGCATTTCAGTCATCGTTGTGAAGGTCACACATTTATATAAACCTCACATAGGCACCTACTTACGCCCTAACAACTACAGCTCTTCCTTAGTGGCCACTCCTCTCTCCCATCATCTTATTTCCCAAAAAGAATGGCTTTAGCATTATGTCATTTTAGTAGCATATATAAACAAGCTGCAATACTGTCATCTCAATCACTACAGGTGTAGATTTTTATGTAGTTAGGTGGGAAAGACCATCACCCCTCCCATCTCTTACTCTTTTCCTTGAACAGCTACACCCCATTGCCTATCTCTGATGCCTAGTCTGTGTGAGAGATTTGGGAGCCACCTAAATAAAGTAGTTGAAACTTTGGGTCCCTTGGCTATGTAGTTATGGTGATAATGGGGAAAGAGTGGGACATCCAAACTATAGGCACAGAGAATGGTTCTTATTCCATGACATCTACAAGTTTGGGGGTTGAAAAGATGAAGGGAAAAAATGATGATTCCAGTCACAATTTCTCTTTTACCTCCTGTCCTTGACTGAAAATGAAATATATATTAATAGTAATTTTATCATCAAGGATAGCTCTATCACTATACCACGTACAAAGAAATTTCTGAATTTCTTTGAAATCTTTCTCACCTGGTTATTGCCTTACCTTCCTTTAACAAAAGGTAATCCTTTTATTCCACAATAAGAAACAAAAGGTTTCAAATGCAAACATAGACAAGAAAGTAAATATATTGATGTATGAGTTTTAGTCACAAGTATAAAGGATTGACCGTAGATCCTTATTTGCATTTGCAAAGAGCAATTAGAAAGCAAGATAGCAAATATTGCCTAGCCTGATATTGTGGACAGAAGATGACACTCAGAAGGGAGAAAATGAATGGAATGGATAACTGAGAGGCAAATAAAGAAAACTTTTTGTTTTGTTGAAGACTAGTATTTGCATTTGTCAGCTGACCGATATGGTACTCAGAGATACTTTATGCCCTCTGTGGCTGTATATTCATTTGCCTCACCAGAAATTATTCATATTTATACTAATTAGGCAATCTGCATGGTGTTCACAGTTTTAACTTTTGAGAACACAA